CGAACCCTCGGGTGGGAGCACCGCCGCGCTTCCCAAGCAGCGCACTATCCAGTGCGCCACCAGGCCGGCCCCTAATTATTATTATTTAAAAAAAAAATTATCCTCAACACTTGGGATCTATTCGCGTGTTTGATTCAGTAAGTGGTTGGGAGCATCAGTGCTATTTATTGCAGAAATCCACCCCTTTGTCAGTGTTTTTGGGGTCTGTTTCTGGGTATCCATAGATGTGTTTGCCTTTCCCTGCACCAGGGCTGTTACTGTTCTGATCACTGTAGCTGTACAATATTTTGAAGAAGGCAATTCTGCCCACAGGCTTGTTGCTTCTTTGTAGTTTCACTGGTCTCTTTCACACACTGTAAAATTCTCTGGGAAGAATGAGTGAAGGTGAGATTGAGGTGGGAAAAGGTGAGTGGGTGGCTTAAGGGTTGCATTATGAGAGATAGGGGAGCAGAAAAAGGAGGGTCTTTTCACTTGAGCTCAAAGCTATGGGGAAGGCACACGGAGTGACTGAGTCCTGAGAAGAATCCTTGGAATTGGTGGTGAGGACTCCACTAGAGCCCTAGGCAGGAGCCCTTCCATGGTACGTGGTAGGATGTTAGAGAATACGAGGCAAGAGAGTTGAGGGAGGGAGGTGGGGCAGGGAAGGGAGATGGGGAGGGGACAATTATTATTACGTTGCGGAAAATTCTCCAGAACGTATTAGTAGGTCAGGGATGAAGAAAGATAAGTATGACTGTGAAGGAGGATCATAGATGGGGCAAAGTCTTGGAGGGAGTAGAGACCACCCGTGAGTTTGAAACTTTGTAGAACAGGGAAACTTGTGAACTGAGGGTGGGTGAATAATCTGGTGGGGGTGACAATCTAGATGAATATGGGAGATGGGAGGTGGGTTCACTAAAGGGAAGGGGAGAACGGGATGTACAGGACTCACTGTATCACAAGGGTACACAGCCACAAGGAAAGCACATTTATCCTCCTTTTAGAGACCAGAGAGGTTACTTATCTTGCCCAAGGCCACACAGCAAATAAAAGAACTGGGATTTTGCCAAGT